TCGGTAAAACGAAATAAAAAAAGAGTTCAATCGATTGTAATTTATCATTTTTTTTTGTTCTACTGTTTAGACGACTTGATGTCAATGATCCTTATCGTTTTATGGCACCTCGTTTATCTGGTCCTTTTCATCCTTCTTCATATTTTCCATCACTTACACAACAAACAAGAATGCCACCACCACCACCATCAACATTTTTATTTTCAAATATCAAAACAACTGATACATTATCACGGTAAGATTTATTATAATCACATCAGAAAAATGAAATAATTCTCTTTTTTTTAGTACTCCAACGCAGGAAAATACGGATAAAAAATCTGAAGTAAGTTATATTCGGTATAAAGAGTCAATTCTTTATAATTTGTTTTGTTATAATAGCAATCATTGGGATCATCTAAACCAAAATTAAAACTATTCCGTCCTTATGATCTTGATAGTCCAAATTCAAATTCTCATCAAACACCACCATCTTCACCAAGTGTAACTAAAAAATCGACTCCTTCTCCAACAATTTTATCAAATCCTGATGAATCACAAACAACAACAACATCATTTGGCAAAGAAAAACAACTATTTAATTCATTAGGTCTTGTTCAACAATCAACTGATCTTATATCAGAAACATCATCATCAACAACAAGCGAAGAATCATCATCAATAGAAACAGTTTCATCACAACAAGATAATCATTCAGATAAATCTCATTCTGATATAAAAGATTCTTCATTATCAGTTACATTTAAACGTAAATCAACTTTTTCATCCAATACAAAACAATCATCAAATCGAAAACAATCGAAAATTGATACAATACAAAATACATCCGAATGACACAAAAGTCAATTTTTCCTACTTTCGAGTTCAATTTTATTTGATTTCTTTTCAGTTTTTTTGTTTGTTTTATACTTTCATTCGATCTCTTTCAGTACGAGAAGTACTATTCACAAAACAAAACAAAAACGATTCAAAAATCGTGATATATATATATATATATTCAATATAATAAAAAAAGATTAATGTTGTTGATTGTATTAAAATAAAATTTTCTTTTTCTTCTCATTACTATTTGTTGTTTTTATAAAATTAAAATTTCATTTTTTCTCAGTATAGACATTAATGCTATGATTTTATTGTTCTTAGTAATACATCCAAATGTGAATAGAAAACGAAATTGCGAACCAAAACCATCTGATTGTTTTAATGTTTCATATTTATGAATATCATCATCACTAACTGATAGTCGAGCAAATTTCATAGCTTCCTCAAAGTGATCAGGTTCATCAGAATTCATTGCTGTATGTCCATTACATTGTCGTTCTTTTTCACGATTAATTCTTCAGTTGCTAATTTAAAAGCACGTTGACAAATTTCTATTAAATCAGCACCACTAAAACCTTTGGTTGCACTAGCCAATAAATTCATATCAACATTTCTGGCTACAGGTGATTTTCTTAAAGTAGATCCTAAAACAGCCATGCGCGATTTATCACCAGGTAATGGAATATAAATTAATTGATCGAGACGACCTAAATATATATATATATTAAATTAATATTTTATTTCGTATAAAAAATCGATGAATTTTTACCTTGTCGAAGGATAGCTGAATCAATGATATCTGATCGATTGGTTGTACCCCTACCATCCATTTCAGTTAAAATTTGATTAATAACACGATTAGCGGCACCACCACAAGCTTTTGCTATAAACATACAAAAATACAATAGACATATTCTTTTATTTTTTTTTAACTTACCAATTGAATCTAATTCATCGAAAAAGAGTACACATGGTGCTGCTTGACGAGCTTTGTCAAATACATCACGTAAATTGTCTTCAGATTCGCCACACCACATTAATAATAACTCTGCACATTTAATTGAAATAAAATTGGCTTGGCATTCATTAGCAATAGCTTTTGCTAATAATGTTCTACCTAAAATTGAATATTAATGTATATAAACATGTAAAAAACAACAACAAAAAATATCAACGTACCACAACCAGGTGGTCTATAGAACAGAACACCACGTGATGTTGTCATACCAAATTTAAGAACTTTTCTCAATGTTCAACTGCATATTGAACAAGTGTTTGTAATTCACGTTTAACACTATCTAAACCACCAATATCTTCCCATGTTGTTGTTGAAACTTCAAGAATTGTTTTACGTAATGCAGGTGGATTTGATTCAATAAGTGCAGATAGAAAGTTGTGCTTTGTAACAACTAATGAATTGAGTACTTCACTATCAATTGCATCTTCTTGTAATACTAAGGTACCCAGTTCTTCTTTAATTCGCTTTGAGACAGCTTTTGAAATCAATGATGCTAGATCTGCGCCAACATAGTCATGTGTTTTATCATTAATTAACTAAAGAGTCTTTGTAGTATCTGCTATTTCTGTATATTGTATAAGTATACGAAGAATTTTTGAACGGCCAGCACTATCAGGTATGCCCAAATAAACTTTACAATCAAAAGAATATAGTTCTGAATCAGTTGCATTGAATCGATTTGTTGCAGCGATAACAGTAACATGTGAATGTTTTTTAATTTCATCCATTAATATTAATAATTGTAATGCAATACTATGTTCAACTTTGCCATGAGTTTTTTCACGTTTTGATGCAATACGATCAAGTTCGTCAATGAAAATGAGAGCTGAAGATTTCTAAACATAAATTTCTAAACAGTGATAGTATAAGTATAATTAAATAAATTGAATAATAAATGTTGATTTGATGATTTATGAAAAGCATATTGAACATATTATCTTAGAAATTTCCTAAGCGATTAATAAATATCATCTACTCAAGTCATTCTAAATTTATCGTAAAAAACTGATACGATATAGTCTACTTTCTTTCTTTCAAAATTTGTTTGTATTGTATATATCTATTAATATAATAGATTGTTTTCTGTATTATATTTTGTCATTATTAAAATTTTGTAGAATTGTTAACCAAATATTACCTTTTTAGCTTCTTCGAATGCTTCACTTAATATTACTTCTAGTTTACCATCTGATTCACACGTTATTTGCATTCCATTAATTAAAATGAAATTTGCGCCAGTTTCATTTGCCACGGCACGTGCCATTAATCTTTTGCCTAAAATATAAATCATTTTTTCTTATTAATAAAAGAACACTTTATTTTTATTGGACCTACGCCTCGTGGTCCATATAATAGGAAATGTGGTGGTTCAAAACTAGCTGTTTTAAATAGATATGGGTATCTAAATGATAATTGAACCATTCCTCTGATTTGTTTCAATTGTTTTCTTGCACCACCGACATCCTGATAACTAATATAATTTATTAACCCTTCTCCTTCTGTACGTTCAATGGATTCACCATCCAAATGTATAACTGTTTTCTCTCCAACAATACAATATGGTTTTTCTGTAATTTCAGTATATTAGAGCAGAGAGTGAGAGAGAGAGAGA